CTTTTTCGGGCAAGCAGTAATTTCAGCGAAATAACGCCAAAATTTCTGTTTTGTAAATTAATAAAGAGTTCAAGAACTCCGCAAATCGATGACGAAAATGAAACAAAAATTGTTGAATATTTTATATAAAAACTGATCATTTAGTAACAGGCCAAAAAGTGCAAGAAAAAAATTTTTGTTTTGACATAGGGGAGGGGCCGGACATGATGTTACCTTTTCACAGATTTTACTTTTTTCCTGCTGCAAAATGACATTTTTAAGAAATGATTATTGGCGTGTTTCTTTTTCACAGAATAAGGTATTTTAATCAACGATAAGTAAATACGCTTAAATTAATTTAAATATTTTTTTAAGGTTTATGTATCCTATATCAAGGGAAGATTGAATTTTTTATTAGAAAGATATCTTCCCAGTCAAAAATTTAAACAATTTAGAATTAAAAATTTCATTCCTAACATACTGTAATTAAATACACAATATTTCAAATAAACAGCACTGTTTTTTTTTTCCCTTTTGACAGTATCAAATACAGGTAACCATTCTTTTGTGTTAAACCCAGTCTGCCAAATTTGCATGAAATTCATGGGCAGGAATTGGCTCTAGCGTAGAATTGGGTGCCCCTTCGATTAGCGACAAATTTTGGCGATGAAACCCCATTTTTGGCTACCACGATAGTTTTAACTTTGTTTTAGCTTCTTGATTTTTGTAAGTGAAAATAGATCAATGTGTACATGGACAAAGTTAAGGCAGTGCGCAATGGCTAGTTTGTGCAATTCTCTGATGTTTTTTTAAGTGAAAATAGATCGATGTGTACATGGATACCGTGTTTGTGCAATTCTTTGACTTCTTATTTTGGTTTTATGTAGCGACCATCTTGAAATTTTGCCTTCCTGGCGCCAATCTTGGCGTCAAAAGAAAGTCCCCCAAAAAACAAGGGGCACCCAATTGTAAACTTTTGCCTAGGAATTTATCAATAAACATAAACTCAAAATAATAAAACTATGAACTGAAATCCAAAAAGAACAGGAAGGGTTTAATCCTAGTATCCGGTGCACACGGGATTTGGCGACTTTTATGATGAGCAGTAAAAACGGGGCATATACGATGAATTGTAAACAGGTATTCAAAGAATATATATAGTTATACATAGTATATACTATGTATATAGTGTATAGTATATACATAGACATTCTTCGGGTCATTTTTGGTGTTGGCGATAATTTTCAAAATCGCGCCAAGGCTGCACCGTATACTAGGATTTTACCACAGGAAGTATACAACCCCAGTAGTAAAATTAATAAATAAACTTTACCTATAGCAATTAGGTAATACGTATTTTGATTAACATTTCTTTCTTATCATTTTCTACTATATTTTCTTTAATATATCAGAAACCGAAATCATTCCTGTATTTAACTTACGAATTAAACATCTTCCTTTCCACTGAGATTCGGTTAATAAACGAAATTTTCACATTCAAGGACTGTATTAAAATACTATAAGCTATGCTTATTTCATACATTTAAATCTATATTATTACGTAAGACTAATTACATGTAACATATTTACGATATATATTTAAAAAGACCAAAATAATTATTCCTATATTATATGAAACTTGACCACAGCATCCTTACTTTCTCAGATAATAATCTCTAAGCGTATCGTATGCTTAAAAAAAAAAAAAAAAAAAAAAAAAATTGGGTAAAGTGCAGAATCGCCCACTTATTTGTTTGGCGCTTTTTACAAGAGTAAGAAGAATTGGATTTTTGTTAATTTTCTTTTGACATTTTAAGTGAAAATAGGTCCATGTGTACATGGATAAAGTCAAGGGAGTGCGCAATGACATTTTTGTGCAATTCTGGGATTTATTTTTTTTTAAGTGAAAAATAGGTCGATGTGTACATGGATACCGAGTATGTGCAATTCTTAAAAGCGCGCCAAGCAGTGGATGATTCTGCACTTTCCCCAAAAAATTGGTTGGATCTCTCCTGTCCCTCACACAAAATAATGCGTAATCGGAACTGAGTACTGCTCACATCATTACCAAAGTCCCAGGTAGTAACCTTTATCGCCTCCAAAATGTCGCCAAACTACCAGTTACCATATTCTAAAGATCAGCCAAAAAATTTCCGTTTTGGATAGTAAATAAACATAGTTAATTTTCTACTCAAATTCCCTTGATTTCAGCAATAGTTTACATGGTTGATCTTTAGATTATGGTAACTTGGCGATTTTTTGACGAAAATTTGGCGACTAACTCTCTTACAGCAACCCTCTATTTTTTTTCCCCGCCGCCATTTTGTCTTCACGAAGTAAAGACATGTTTCTTTTCATTTTATCTACTGAACACTTCTTCCAACAATCTACTAGCCGAATTACACTTATGCTAGAAATATTATCTAACAAAACTGCTTAATCATGACAAATATTCACTGCAAAATTGGGAAAAAAAGTGCACAATACCATACTCCTTTCGCGTTTTTCAAAAATAACACATACACATAAACCATGTACACATCGACTTATTTTTACTTAAAAAAACATCCCAGAATTACACAAAAAATGGCATTGCGCACACTCTTCACTATATCCATGTACACTGCTTTTTTCTCATAAATTAGAAAAATTTCACGAAAAATACATGACAATTTCTGAATCTTTAAACCCGGTAAAAAGAACATATATGAAATTACCCTATCGCGAAAAAGTATATACCCTTTCCAAACATGAACATTTTCACATATAAAATAAATAAAATATCCAAAAACTTTTACCTCTAAATCATCTATTATATTATAAACGTCACCAACGAATTCATACCGCAAGCATTACAAATACTTAGTGTCAAATATTTAAATTATTTCCATGCACGTTTACTTCAACTTAAACATATACCGAATTCCGACAAACATAAAATTCACAAAATAACTATCATTTAATTAAAATTTCCCTAAACCATGTACACGTCGACTTATTTTTACTTAAAAAAACATCCCAGAATTGCACAAAAATGGCATTGCGCACATTCTTCACTATATCCATGTACACTGCTTTTTTCTCATAAATTAGAAAAATTTCACGAAAATACATGACAATTTTCTCAATCTTTAACCCAGTAAAAAGAACATATATGAAATTACATGATCGCGGAAAAGTATTTACCCTTTCCAAATATGAACATTTCCACATATAAAATAAATAAAATATCCAAAAACTTTTACCTCTAAATCATCTATTATATTATAAACGTCACCAACGAATTCATACCGCAGACATTACAAATACTTAGTGTGAAATATTTAAATTATTTCCATGCACGTTTACTTCAACTAAAACGTATACCAAATTCCGGTTTAATCCTAGTATCCGGTGCACACGGGATTTGGCTACTTTTGGCGACTTTATGATGAGCAGTAAAAACGAGACATATACGATGTAGTCAACGGGTCATTCAAGATATATAGTATAGTGTATATACTATGTATATACACGCATAGTATATTTAGACGTTCTTTGGATAATTTTTGGTGTTGGTGATAATTTTCAAAATCGCGCCAAGGCTGCACCGTATACTAGGATTTTACCCAAATTCCTACAAACATAAAATTCACAAAATAACTATCATTTAATTAAAATATAATTAAATTCAAAAACACTACTTAAAATATAAATAAGCACATACATTAAATTAATAAAAATTAGCTTACAATCCTAATTACTTTAAACTAAATCATTGCTAATAACAATTTTCCCAATAATACCAAATTACTTTACTTCCACCTTACATTTAGAACAAATAGTTCACAGCAAGATACCAGGTAAAATAAATAACTTAATAAAGCATCTTTACTTCTATCTCGCACAACCTTGAAGAAACACTTATTACTACCCCTTTCAATCCCACTAAATACCCATTTCGAATTACCTTTAGTTAGGGCCATGGGATCCAAATTTAACGAACACTGTTTCACACAACACAGAATAAAGCCCAATACAAAATTTCCATATTTTTTCCCGATTTTCCCCATTTTCCGATTAAAGAACCGTAATTCGTCCATTAATATCACATGACATATCCCATGATATCTCATTTCCCTCACACAAAATAATGCGTAATCGGCACTGAGTACTGCTCACATTATTACCAAAGTCCCAGGTAGTAACCTTTATCGCCTCCAAAATGTCGCCAAACTACCAGTTACCATATTCTAAAGATCAGCCGTTTACATCATATAAATATAAAAAAATAAATACTTAAAGCTGCAAATAATATAAAGAAATTTACCATCAGCATACACACTTTAAGCAAGTTGAACTTGCTGTATTTAGCAGTTAGTTTCTCGAGTTAAAATAATATTGCTGAAAATGATTATTTAGATACTGTTCACTCAGGAATCGAGTACTTATAGTAGTAAATAAATACATCCGCTTTCTCCTCTCTACAGACTGACTACAAGCTCAGAAGGTACACATATAAATTTAAACTAAGATTTCACAGTAGTTTCATACATGCACTGCATATATTTTGCGGTCGAAGCAGTTGAAAAGTTTCTTTCATGAAGATTAGAATGAATGTTTTACGAATTAAAAAAAAAGTATATAAAACAATTATATGGCACAACTAAAGCACCAAGGCAAGAGAAAATGAAAGCATGGAGTTTAACAAGGAAAAAATGAAGCGTTAAATAACGTTAAAAATTAGGCAAAAAACTCAAAAAGAAACACACCATCTTATTAAAATTTAGGAACATCGTATTATAACTAAAGCACAGAATATAAAATGTTGTAGCTTATTAAATGTGCAATTCTCTCTTTAAAGCATGCTATAAAATAGGAAAGTGTATGATAATCATTAACAAGAATTACAAATTCGAATTACAAATTTGATAAACTTCTTTGCATTTCGATTGTTCATACTGCACAAAATAAAATGAGTTTTTAATGAGGAAAGTTCGAGAGGAAATTTTACCACTTGACATATTAAATATTTCACATCATTTCACTGGAAAAGATCATAAAAATATATTTTAAGAATTATAACTATGAACTTTGTTTACAATCATTACAAAACACTTACAAATCTTAAGGAATTTTAGCCTTCATATTTGAAGAATCCTGTTGTGAAAATGCACGTAAATCATTTCGTGGGTTTATTACGAGCTATCACATCTTGCAGAAGTTTCACACAAAAATTCTTGTTGTCCATCTCTTTCCATTCATCGGTTGAATAAATTTCTTGCAGATGATTTGAAAAAAATTCCAGAGCTCTTTGATACAAATCATCATCGCAATGCATATGTGCTAACTGGAGAATTTTGAACACATTTTCGACAGTAATAATGGATTTGAGAGAGGACGAGCATATATTTTTGAGAGCCGAAATATCATACTTATCAGCTGCAGTATAAAGCTGCATAACTATTTCTTCACATAATTTTCCCACTTTTCCAGTATATAGAAAAAGAAACATTTCATGCATAACATCAGGATCCACATCAGAAATTTCTGCGTGGTTGTTTCTCGATTCTATCATTTCGGTTTCGAACATCCTGCAAAACACCGAAGACTGGGAAGCCAGAATAAATTTGTGCACGAAAAATCTTTTCGAACCAGCTATTATAGTAACATCAGATAATGTCCCATTTTCATAAAGATTTCGAAGGCTTCTGTTTGAGTTATTATCTCCTATAGAAGTTGCAAAGACGCAAGAAGATTCCACAATCTCGGAAGAAAAACTGCCATTAGATAATTTAAATTCGCATCTGAGTAACAACATATCACCTGGGTCTGAAGATATATTCCGCGAAAACTCAGCACACTTCCAATTTTCATCTTGCTTAAACAAATGTTCATTTTCAGAACAATTAGCATCATCGAAGGATATCTTGGTTCTCACGAAAATCGGTTTGAGCTTATAATCAGGTATTTTGCAAACGAAAATACCAAATATTTGATCAGTTTTCGTTTTTTCGCAGATGTGTACTCTTAAACTCCATTTACTAAATTCCGGGATATCTATCTCAAATTCGTGTAACAACTCTGTGTTAACGGGCAGGCTGGAGAAATTCTCTATTGGTCGCACAAAGGAAATTTTCTCAGTATTAATGCGAGTTTCACACGTTTTTATACTACTAGGTGTAGGGGTGAGAATGCGGAGTCCATATTTTGCTGCAGTCACATAGAACTCCTCAAAACTAAACACATATCCGCTGAATTTTATTTTTCCAGTGTAAACATATTTGATCATGGCTTCCACAACGTTCGATCCGATATCGAAATCTTGTTCGGAAGACTTTTGTTGATCGAGTTTTTTTGCCAGTTCAGGCCACCTCGCCCATAACATAGCTCTATGCACTTTGAATACTGCACCACGAGCACGCAATATAACGTCCGTGAACAGTCCAGTTTGTAAGAAAGTGAAGGGCATAGCTCTTCTTTTCCATTAGTCTCAGAAACTGGTTTCAAACTACATTTTATAATTAGTATATGTCACAATTAATAGACCTTAAAAGCAAATTTCTTTCAATAATTCGAGGAACGCCATATCTCCGATCAGGTTTTCCTTTTCGAAATAACTTTGTTATGGTTCGATGATTTGCCGCAATTTCCTTTTCACTGCAATCTAAAAACTTAAAGTTATAAGTTAGCTTGCAGTCTTCCGGGATGTCATCGTTTCTGCAGAGATAAATATCTATATAATTTTCATCTGAATTGCTTATGGCATATAATCTAATGCACCATTTCAGGCCAGGTAAGGAGTCGAAAATAAAGAACGGGCTCTCGCGAAATTCTCCCTTAGTGTCATGGCACATGCTGAAATTTTTAATAATCCACACAAATGTCAAATTAAAGTCGGTTTCCGTCTCCATCGCGGCGACCTTTTTTTTCCGCTCTATATTCCTCACCTCTTGCTAATATAAACATTCGCATTTGAGCGCGTTTCTATGACCTTCAATCACTTTTGCTAACGAACGCTCTGATTGGCTATTAGATGTCAGATGTTATACTTCTACTTAGATAAGTTTCGCTTTGTAAGAAAAGTTGACTATAAAATGATGATAAACGGAAGTGCTTGTCACCAGATTGAAGTACAGAAAAAGAGTGCGTCAATACATACTTGAATTTTGTTTGCTAGTTTCTTTTAAACCTTTTTATCTCTTACATATGAGAACTGGAACTTAAATTTAACAGCTTCCAAAAGGATGTTCTTATTTTCGCACCCGACAGCCGCATCAATAAATTCACAAAGGTCTACAAGCCACATTGTTAGTCGAGTAAGTAGCGTAGACAGAAAATTTATTAAAGGCAGGGAGTTTTACAAGATTACAATTAGTTTTTAGGGAAGAGATTGGTTTAACGAGTTTAGTAATATCCATTTTTTTATTTTATTTTCATTAAGACATGAATTTCAGCATGGCGCATTACCACATTCAAAACATTTTTAAATTTCTCATTTTCATATTCTACTTTTCGTTTCTTGTTCTTCCATTTCATTCAGTTTTTAGTTTAGTTTTCTGGAACGACCCAGAAGCCCCTCGTAAATGCTCCATGGAGCTCCAGCAGCTGCCTAACAATAAAAATAATTTATGTGGTCTCAAACTGAAACTGCATGCGGGCCGAACTGCACACGATCCGAAAGCGACTGAAATTCTGGAATGCTTTTAAAAAATTGAAAAGTTTTAAAAAAATTATTTTTTAAAATTTTATTATTTAAAAAATTGAAAAATTTTAATAAAAAAATATTTTTTTAACTAAATTTTAAGTATATTTGCTATGCATTTAGAAATCACATATAAACAGCAAAAATAATGACGCAAAGAAAAGAATTCAAATTTATACATATTCTATTTAAAACATAAACGTTGTTATATGCAAGAAATTTCCTTTGGTTATTTCTGTAGTAATTTAAACGTATTGATGGGTAAATATTAAATTTTCACTCATATTTATTTCAAATAATTCTCATATATTGATTTCACAACTAAATGATGATCAACTTAAAATAAACAAACTGCAAAGGGAACGAAATTTGAGAATAAATAATTCAGCAAATATTTGGAAACTTTTCCTTTGTTTACTAGGACCACCAGCGGCCGAGCGGTTAAGTCGCTGAACACTGGCAGTTCGGTCCGAGGTTCGAATCCCGCGAACGGGCTGGCTGCATGGGCGTTTTCGGGGTGTTCCGTCTTTTTGGTAGATGTAGATAGGTGGCGCTCTTGATGCGCGCCGATGAAAAATATATCTCTTGACGCTTGAACATGAAGAATGACGCATGTCATATTTATTTGATGCTTGATTATGTTTCATGGCCGTTATAAGCGGAATTAATATAAGTTTATCATTAATAAATGTTATTTCTATGTTCCGTGAACTCTTGAAATTTTGATTTGAAATTCTAATGCTCTCCCAACCGTGACTCCTGAAACGAAACGATCTTTGAATTTATGACTCATGAAAAGAGACACCATACATTTTTTTGGGGTCTGAAACCCGCGAAAAGGGGAATTACCTTTTGAAAGGTAAGAATTTTGATTTATTTGTTCTTGGTATCGATCTTTGAAAATGAAACATAATGGCTGATTTAGCAAAAGAGAAAAAGAAACGTGCTATTGTACGTAGTAGTAAAGTTACTACATTTCTAAATAAACTTGAGAAATTGTTATCAGAAGAATTAAGTAAAGAACATGTAGAAGATTTAAATTCATCATATGAATTGTTAATTGAATACCATGAGAAACTTAAAACTCTTGACTCAAAGATCGATGCTCTCATAATTGATGAAAAAGAATATGATAACGAACTACTTGTATGTGAAGAGTATGATGAAAAAATTATAACGTTTAAAGCTAAGATTGTTAGTAAAGTAAAGAAAATTAACAGTAATGAAGTTGTTGAAAGAAGTATAATTGCAACTAGTAATGGTATTAGTAGTACTCTGAATGGTAATAATGTTGTTACAAGTAGTGCTTCAGTAAAGTTACCTAAATTAAATATTGAAAAATTTGCTGGTGATCCCAGTAAATGGCTCGAATTCTTTAATTCGTATGATAATGCTATTCATTCTAATCCAAGTTTATCTAAAATAGATAAGTTTACATATTTGAAAAGTTTATTATCTGGTTCAGCATATAATTGTGTTTCTGGTTATGCTTTATCTGAAGAAAATTATGATCTATGTATTAAAAGTTTAGAAGAGAGGTTTGGTCGTAAAGATGTTATTATATCAAAATTCATGCAGATGTTGTTACAGTTAGAACCAGTTAAAAGTTCTTCAAATGTTTTTGGGTTAAGAAAGCTCTATGATCAGTTACAAATCTGCGTTAGAAATTTAAGTAGTTTAGATGTTACTAGCGGTTCATACGGACAGTTATTGAACCCAATAATTCTTAAATTGTTACCTGAAGATTTAGCTCTTGAATTCCATAGAAAAAGAACATCTAACCAAAATATAGAAGTAAGTGAATTAATAGAGTTCATTAAAATAGAAACTGAATGCCGAGAAGCAAGTATTTTGATTAATAGCTCAAAAGGTAATAAATACACAGGGGTTAATCCTAAACAAGGGTTAAAAAATTATAAAGTCAAATCACAAGCTTCTGCTTTTAACACATCGGTAAAAATGTTTTGCATATTCTGCAAATCAAACGAACATACATCTGCCGGATGTTTGAAATTTTCCGACGAACAAAAACGAAAGAAATTGAAACATGAAGGTCGCTGTTACAGATGCTTTCTAAAACATTTGTCGGCGTTTTGTCAATCAAAAATACAACCATGCGAAAATTGTAACGAGAAAAATCATAATAAACTTTTCTGCCGTTTGAAATCGAAAGAAATGGAAGATGTTAAATCCGCAGATACGCAAAATAAAACTTTAGTATCTACTTCCCACTGTAACACTCTAAAACCTGAAAATAGTGTGCTTTTACAGACATGTTCTGTTATTGCTCAAAGCAAAAATAAATCGAGAATCGTAAGATTATTAATTGATTCAGGTAGTGAACGAAACTTCATCACCCACAAGTTAGCGCGCGCGATTTAGAATTGCAAGTCATTAGAAAAGAATTTCTAACAATTTATTCGTTTGGAAATCAGCGCGGTAACTCGCAAGAATTTGATGTATATAGTCTAAAAATAAAAAATAAAAACGATGATCGCTGCCTTGTTGTAGAAGCTATAGGGATAGAATTAATATCATCAATAGAATTCCAGGCGCCATCAACATGTCAAAACATTAAAGAATTTATGACTAAAAAGGGTTTGGAACTTTCGGATACAAGTCCCGTTAATGAGAACATAAATATTCTGCTTGGCGCGGAGCATTTCTGGTATATACAAACAGGAAGTAATTCAATGATAAATGATGGTTTGTTTATAGTACCGACCATATTTGGATACACAGTGATGGGTAAAGTAAAAAATAATAATACTCGAATTAATGCGTTGTTTTTATCTGCCGTTGAAGGAAACACATTTGATTTGCAGTCATTTTGGAAATTGGATTCGATAGGAATTGAAAATGAAAACAAAACATTTTCGGAAACTGATTTGGATACTATTAAGCATTTTAACGACAGTTTAAAATTTAATAACGGCAGGTACGAAACAAAACTCTTTTGGAAGGACAATAAATCACAACTCGCTGATAATTTTTTCGTTGCTAAACAACGATTTCTAGGACTAAAGCATAAATTAAAGGGAAATGATTTCCTATATAATGAATATGATAATATAATTAGAGAACAAGTTGAAAGGGGGATTGTTGAACAATGTAAGTTTGTTGAAAATGAACCTAACTGTTATTATATGCCTCATAGGCCCGTTATACGTGAAGGAAAAGTAACAACAAGAATAAGAATAGTTTATGATGCCTCTTCTAAGTCTGAAGGAGCTAAATCGTTAAATGAATGTTTGATATCAGGCCCTAATTTAAATCCTAACTTGTTGGATATAATTTTAAAATTTCGCGTACATAAAGTTGCATTTTGTGCAGACATAGAGAAGGCTTTTCACCAAATTCAAATTGATAGTGAAGATAGAAATTTTTTAAGGTTCTTGTGGTTTGATCATTCTTACGACAATAGTGACAATAGTTTAGGCTTTAAGGTTTTCCGAATGTGCCGAGTGCCGTTTGGAATGACAACAAGTCCGTTTATTTTGTCCGCCACTATCAAACATCATATTAAGGGTTATGAAAAGAAATATAGCAAAGCTGTTGACATGTTAAATAAGTCCTTATATGTTGATGACCTTATCCATGGAGCAGACTCCGTTGAAGAAGTTTTCTCATTATCAACTGATGCAGTTAAAATTCTTCAAGACGCTGGTATGAACTTAAGAAAATTTGAATCAAATTCCGTATCTTTAAAAAATCATTGGCAAGATATTGGTTTAATTAATAAGGAAGATAATTTGGATAAGAAAACGTTAAAGGTGCTGGGAATAATTTGGGATTTGGATGAGGACACATTGAAATTAGATGTACAAGAACTTTTACAACCAGTTGACTGGAAACACGTTACAAAGCGAAAGGTATTACAGATTGTGGCAAAAATTTATGACCCAGTTGGATTCATTGCACCCTTTGTTATCAGAATAAAATTCTTATTACAAGAGTTATGGGAATTGGGTATTGATTGGGACACAATTTTGCCCAGTTATTTGAGTGAAAAATTTAAAACTTGGTACTTTGAAATTGAAGTTATTCTCAACTTGTGTATTCCTAGAAAATACATATTAAATGATGAATGTGTAAATTTCGATAAAATAGAGCTTTTTGTCTTTTGTGACGCCAGCCTCAAGGGATATGGAGCTGTTGCATATTTTCGTGATCCTGATTCTTGCTGTACGTCTTTTGTTCTTTCAAAGAGCCGTGTATCCCCACTTAAAAAATTAACCTTGCCTCGTTTAG